AAATAACTCTAGGGTTAAATATTGAGGAAGTTGTTTTTTTAAGTGTACAAATTCAACTCATACAAGTCTCGCTCTCTTTTTTTTTTATATACCAGCAAACAAAAACAAACTTTATAAATAACTATAAAACTTATATTCAGGGAAATAGATCAGCATTTTGCAATGGTTAGAAGCTTAGCAGGCTGCCAAGATAACGGTAGAGTTATTGTATTATAAGAAATTTTAAACTGTAAAATACTTTTGAACAGAGATCTTTAAAAAGTTGTATGGAGATTTGTTTGTAACGAAAATCCTACCCAAATCGTCTTACATATATATAATCTTCTGACGACTTGACCCACTCCGTTTCTCCTCTCCTCCAAATCTCAGAATGACTCTTCCAGGGTCTGGAAAGCCAGCACGAAGTCATGGGTCTGTCCTTCACCAGCTGGATCACCATGAGCAACCTGACCTCTCTAAGCCTGGGCTTCTTTATATATAGAACAGAAATGCCAATAGCTAACATATTTTAGACAAATGAGTAATTTCACAGACCTGGCATGATGCCTGACTCACAGTAATTGTTGTGCATACACGTAATTGTTGTGCACATCAGAGACAGAGAAAGCCTGGACGGGGCGTTACAGTTAGAGGGGATCTGCTCAAAGATTTGAGCTCAGGATATACACATACATATTCTTCCAATTGCCCTGAGCCTGCCGGCTTGGAAAACAACTCAAAACGTCATCAGCTCCCTGCTCCCTACATTACCATTCCCAAACTGCGAGGCCAGATGGAAATGGGGTTACAGTTTGAAGCTGTGGGTTCATCAGCCTTGCCCAGGGCTGTGCTCCCCTCCTGGAGCCATCCATCTAGAAGGAAGGTTCCACCTGCCGGCGGGCGTGAGGGAGGGAGCATTTGCTAAAGTAGCAGGCGCATCCTGGGTTCAGTTCAACGCCTCGTGGCCTACTTTCGTCACATCCTTGTACTTCCTCTCTCATAACAGTCATGACACTCAGCAGTATCCTTTCATCTTTGCTGTCTGCTCCTACCCGGCAGCTCAGTGCCAGCAGGTCCTGCTCCTGTCTTGGTGGCAGTATCGTCCCCAACAACGAAAGTAATGCCTAACACCCAGGGGGGCTCCATCAGTATTTGTGACACTGAGCACCACTGCATCTGCATCAGGGTATGCAGCCCCCCAAGAATCCCGAATAGCCACATACTCAGAAATAAAACCAGAACGAAAACCAACTTAGGCCTCGAGGACAGAAACTGCCAGGACAAGTTTTGACCCAAAAATAGAGGAAAAAATGATGTATATGTACGATTTGTGTTTAGGAGAAGCCCCTGCAAAACAGGACAGAACAACACAAGATTGTTTGGCTGGAAATGGGTTCTCTGCGCAGAACCACAAGAGAAGGGAGGGAAGTCACGGAAGGCAGCTAAGCCCAGAAACAGCAAACGCAAGGTGTCCGGCCGTGGACAACAGACCCGGAAGGGGCAGAGGACAAGTTAACCGTGCCTTGTGCCAAGAAAGACAGGCGTCAGCTTCCTGAGCTCCACAGCTTTTAGGAGGGGCAGGCAGCAAACGGTTGTAGGTGCACAGTGCTGAGCCAGGCAGGGCTACGGCAGCGGGGAGGGGAGCCCTTCCAGTGGCTGGCCTGGCCCGTCCCTGTCCCTTGTGGGGCATGCGGGGGGAGCTGAGGCCGACATCTGGCATCTGCTATCTTTTCATCCTTTTCAAAAAGATGGTCAAGGGCACCTGGGTGGCTCAATCCATTGAGCATCCAACTTTGGCTCAGGTCATGATCTCACGGTTCATGAGTTCAAGCCCACCTCGGACTCTGTGCTGACAGTGCAGAGCCTGCTTGGGATTCTCTCTCTCTCTCTCTCTCTCTCTCTCTCTCTCTGCCCCTCCCCTGCTCATGTTCTCTCTCTTTATTGAAAAAAACAAAAACAAAGAAACAAATAACTTTGAGAAAAATAAAGTTAAAAAAAATAAAAAGATGATTGGAATATATACATTTAGTACTCTTCTATCTGGAAAAATCTCTTACGGAGAACAGTTCTTACCCATGATTCCAGAAAATCAAGCCTTTTTTTGTCATCTCTTTCTTTACTTTTTCGTAGCAAACCCGTCATTAATTTGCACTCTCCCAACAAGTTCCTGTTTTCCTGGGATGCTCATTTAAAAAGATTCCTTAATCTATGCTATGGGTTTCTGCGATTATTTTAGGCTTTCATTTAGAAAATAAATAAATGGAACTCATATTTTCTTCTTTCTAGCTTGCTTCAGGTGCAGTTTTATTTGTTCGATATATGGAAACAAATTATAAAGTGACTAGTGCATTTTTTTTCCTAAGAAGGTCATAGAGTTGTTCTCGATGAGAACTGTGTCAACATTCAGAATACTCTTTAGAAACATGAGCAGTAATTTCATCCAGACCCACAAGAACTGTAACCCCAGAGCGCACAGTATTCCGGGTCTTAAAACTGTTAACAAGAAGACAGAAGGAAGGTCTGCTTCTTTTTTGCCAATACTACCCTCTAGTGGAAAATGGGCAAGAGAAAAGAGGTTGTCTTTGAAGAGTGGAACTTGTCCTTAATTTGCTGCATAACAGAGTATTTGCACAGAAGCAGATTTATGTACATTCTGCGTCAGACATCCCTGGAGCATAAATATAATGAACTATTGATTAGGCTTGTTGGCATTGCATTTCAATAAATTTTCTCATCTGAAATCATGCATTGTGCAAGAACGTCTTAGCTACAATAGAAGATTGTAACCCCAAAATGTGTACAGTGTGCTATAAAAAGAAATGCTGCTATAGTAGCCGTATTGATTTCTTGCTCACCCTGTCAAAGGCCAGCAAACTGACGTAGGAGAGGAGCCCGTCTTTTAAAGGCCTTCAGTTTATTTACCGCCTTAGGTTTCTGCCTAAGCAGTTTGAGGCCAGATTATAAAAAAATATCCACTCCGCCTTCAGAGGTGAATCTAGTGAATACTTTTCCAGAAAAAAAGGAAAGGGGGGGGGTCACCGTACTCAGTGCTGTTAGCAGCTATATGACATAACTGGAAAACCATATCCCTCTTTTTTCCCCCTGAAGAATCAAATTATCCAAAAGCATCTTGTACCATTAAGGTTTGAAGTGTCCTTTGAGATGAAAAAAAAAGAAGACAATTTATAGGAACATATTGAATTCATGTCACTCAGTAAATGTGACTCCCAGTGGGTTTGGGAACTCATGGAAAAAAATACTGGTGTTGGGCTCCTTCTGACCTCCAGGAGTTACAACTAAGGGTTGCAGAAGGATTCATTTCCACCCCGTTAGTTCAAGATGCACTCGTTAAATTAATTGGAACTCTTGAAGAGAGAAGGGGAAAGTGTTCATGCAAATGTTTTACATATTTCTAGGCCCCCCCGGCCTAGAAACTCAAGAACAATACCCACACCACCCTCATTACCAAGACTGAGTGCTCTCAGACTCATGTTCTTGTTCAGATTCTAAAGGTCATAATTTATAAAGGAAGCCTTTTGTTGTTGTTGTCCATGGACAGTTATGGATACTATCTGTGAAGCAGAGGAAATGATATTTTTACTTTTGCTTACTGTTGAAAATCTCTTATCCCTTATTAAAGTCTGCATGTTTTTCATATTTACAACTCAGAAGTCAACTCTACTGTGAACAGAAAAACAAGGCTCCATTTGATTTTAAAAGATAATTATCCCGACCTCTTTGCAAAGAGAGGTGTTTATAATCAGTTAATTAGTGAGTTTCCAATTTACATTGTGCAGGGAAATTGTTGTATCACAGCAGATACGAAAGACTATGTATGACAGTTTTCTTCCTTCGTTTTTAACAGCAAGTGAGAAGAAGATGACTTGGGGAGTAAGATAATTAACACATTGAGCTTTAGGTTCAACTGTGTCTCACCCAAAGTACCCAGAACAACGCAGGGTGTAATTATTCTAAATAAGTAAATTTAAGAAATACAAATCATCCATCTTAATAAGCATTATTTTTGAAGAAAAAATGATATGCAGTCCTCCATAAAAGATAACATGGTGAGGAAACAAAAGGGTCAGCTCTCAAGGGACCACACTTAGTAATCTGGCTGTGTGAAATAAGTAGATTAATTTAGGCAAAGTCACTACCTAGCCACAGAATCAGTCTTTACCTGTCCAATGGCAGTTCGGTAACGTGAAGTCAGGGCCATTAGTTTTGTGCATCACCACAGTATCCCCAGTGCCTAGCCTTGAGTCGTAAAAGTGGAGGAACTTGATAAATTTTGTTTAATGAGTGATCCTGCATGAATAAGAATGTACTCATATCACCGAATTGTAGACAGAAAAAGGACAGCTAGAAATTAGTTTGAAAAAACCTTCAGGAAATTACCATTGCTTTCTGTCTATAGGAACATCTAATTCTATGTGCTGTTCTTATAGGGTACTACAGGGAAAACATTCCTTAATCCTCTTACTTCAGTAAAAATGGAAGACCACATCCAAGGCAATCTCACAGTTTGTATTTCAGAGACGTGCTCATCATATCATTTTGCTAAGTATATAAGGAATTTTCAGTTGCAATAGACACATTAAAGACTTGTGTTTTTTTAAAGGAGCAACCACAAAACCAACAAAAATGTCACCTGTTCCAGAGAATGGCACTTTGTATCAAATTTGCCTGTCCTTGTTTTCAAAGTTCAAAATCACCTCATACCACCGGAAGTATCTTTGGCTAACATTTCGAGCATTACCCCCGTCTCCAGAAGGCAGAATTTCAGACTGCTTGCCCGAGTCGAATGGCCTTCAGCTGATACCCCCGCCCATTAATATTGTACAGGAGCTCTGCCAGGTTCCTTTGGGGCACCGTTGTGCGGGAACAGTAATGGAATTGAGGAGGTGGAAGGTTGACAGTGGCTAATGGATTGCGTGATAGGAAGAGACGGGGCCAGTCTAGTAACTGTGTCCCTAACCTGGTTTCAGGGGAGGCTCTAAACCCTTCATTGTGTTTTACAGGATATGAATGATTATCCTCCAGTATTTAGTAAACGAATCTACAAAGGGATGGTGGCTCCGGATGCTGTCAAGGGCACACCTATCACCACGGTTTATGCTGAAGACGCAGACCCTCCTGTAAGTAGAAGACGTTAATTAATACTCTGAGCTGTAGTGAAGAAAACCTTGCATGCTCACAAATGACGCAGGTTCTGGGACAGCATAAAAGTTGAGCTCCACCCTGTTCTCAGGCATTTTGCGTGCTCTCGCCTGTTGCACCCACAGGTACACACCATATTGCAAATGATTATTGTGGATTATTGTGCTTTTTGTTTCTCTGGAGTTCAAAATTTATGATTCACCAGTTTAGCACTAGTAATAAATATATGTGGAAAGAATTCTCTGGGTTTGGAATCAGCATCATTAGGGTTCTGTATTTACAACAGTGGAAGCTAAGTTCAGTTGGGTTCGATCCCAATGTATTTTCCATGTTATTCATATATGACTGTGCTGGTAACAAACTCTAGATCAACAGGTGACACAATACTTATATTGAATGTGTTAATTTGAGTAAAATTGAAATATTAATATTTCTTTTAGAACATATCTAATACCTTCTTTTTTATCTAGAATTTTACCTCTTTTGAGATATCCCAAATTGCCTTCCGAAATAGAGGGTTTTCAATGAAAACCTTATTATAGCAGAAGTGAGGTACATGTTCCTTGATGTTATCATTTTACTGTCTTAAAAGTAGCATATAGAAATAATAGTACCTACATAAAAATGCTTTCTATAAATAGTTTGAGTGCTCTATAAAAATTAATTACTTATTCTCATAATAGCCAAATGATGAAGACTTTAAATCTTTTACTTCGAGTGAGCTACCACTATTAGTCAGTGGCTGATATATTCTAGAAAAATAATAGAAATATCTAATAAGCCATTATAGAAAAGTAAGAAAATAGAAGAAGACCGGAATTATATAAGTGATTTAGAAGTTCTGCTTTATATTGCTTATATAAATACTATTTGTATAATGGTATTTATTTAAGAAAAGGTGAATGGCAGTCATAACATTTTTCAGCTTCAACTGTGACAGGCCATATAAAGTCTTTTGTGACTATAAGGTCTTGAAAAATAATAATGTTAACATGAAAGCAATGACCTTTCACTCAGAAGCTCCTTTTCTTGAGTGTGTTAAAATGTCTTTGAAACTGATTTACTGCATTTTGGGAAATATGGTAGGCGAAATTTCATAGATGTGAGCACACACAGTACAGATGCTGAATGTGACATCGGTTCTTTTTCTGCTTTTTACGTAAACTTTCAGAGGCAGAAAATACTTAGAAATTAGGAATACACGTTCAATTCTATTCAAGACTTGTGTTTAGAACATCAAGCCTAGACTGATTATTGTGCTAACCAGTTTTTGCTCTCCTGACCTGACAGTCGTACAGGAAGAACATAACTGCATATAGAAATTATAACATGCTGGGGCGCCTGGGTGGCGCAGTCGGTTAAGCGTCCGACTTCAGCCAGGTCACGATCTCGCGGTCCGTGAGTTCGAGCCCCGTGTCAGGCTCTGGGCTGATGGCTCAGAGCCTGGACCCTGTTTCCGATTCTGTGTCTCCCTCTCTCTCGGCCCCTCCCCCGTTCATGCTCTGTCTCTCTCTGTCCCAAAAATAAATAAAAAACGTTGAAAAAAAAAAATTAAGAAATTATAACATGCTGTACTAAATGAGTATAAAAAGCACAGCATCTTAAAATGCTCATATTTCTAAGAAATTCATATTAGCACAGAATTTAAGGCAGTGTTATGATTAATGGAATTAAGATGAAGACTAACGTAGCTGTACTCATCACCTCAGTGGGACAGACCTCACCATCTTAGCATGGATGGCAAAATCCTCATTTCACCGTTGGAACCTGCCACTGTGGTCCCTGGTTTGACATTCAGGTCACCCCACTGATGTCACAGGAGTTGTCTTGGTCTGTTATCTATTCTATAAATAAATGCCATCACTTATCTAAGCTATCCAGAGAGAAGGCCCTGTTTTTTGCACCCGGAAGCTCTTTCATGGAAACACAGAAGGCTCAGGTTCCATACTTCTTCTAAGAAGGTCTTAGATTTGCATCCCCAGTAGTACCTCTTAACATTTTATACCTAACGCTGGCTTGTCAGTAGGTGAGAGGCAGATGCCAGTCATTCAGTTGAGATACGGAGCATATTTATTTCAGTTAGTGAATATGTATTTTATTAGACTCAGGCTTTTTTATTAAGGTCTTTATTTTAATTTCAGTATAGTTAACATCTGGAATTATGTTAGTTTCAGGTGTAAAATATAGTGATTCTACACTTCCATACATTATTCAGGGCTCATCACAACAAGTACCCTCCTTAACCCCCATCCCCTGTTACCCCCATCCCCCCAACGTCCTCTCTGGTGACCATCAGTGTGTTCTCTAGAGTTAAAAATCTGTTTTGGGTTTCTCTCTCTCTTTCTCTCTCTCCTGTATTTTTCCTTTGTTCATTTGTTTTGTTTCTTAAGTTTCACATATGAGTAAAATCATATGGTACTTGTCTTTTTCTGACTTATTTTGCTTAGCTGAATACTCTCTAGTTCCAACCATGTCATGGCAAATGGCAAGATGTCATTCTTTTTTTTTTATTTTTTTTAATGTTTATTTATTTTTGAGACAAAGAGAGAGCATGAACGGGGGAGGGTCAGAGAGAGGGAGACACAGAATCTGAAACAGGCTCCAGGCTCTGAGCTGTCAGCACAGAGCCTGACACGGGGCTCGAACTCACAGACCGCGAGATCATGACCTGAGCCGAAGTCAGCTGCTTAACCTACTGAGCCACCCAGGCACCCCAACGTCATTCTTTTTTATGGCTGAGTAATATTCCATTGTGTATAAACACACAGACACACACACACATACTACATCTTCTTTACCCATTCATCTATTGATAGACACTTGTGATGTTTCCATAATTGGGCTATTATAAATAATGCTGCAATAAACATAGAGTTACATGTATCCCTTTGAATTAATGTTTTTGTATTTGGGGGGTAAATACCCAATAGTGTGATTACTGGATGATATGGTAGTTCTATTTTTAACCTTTTAGGAATCTCCATACTGTTTTCCTCAGTGGCTGCACCAGTTTGCAGTCCCACCAACAGTGCACAACGGTTCCTTTTTCTCCACATCCTTGTCAGCACCTGTTGTTTCTTGTGTTGTTGATTTTAGCCATTCTGACAGGTTATCAGACTCCCTGCTGATCCTTGACCCACCAGCCATCTTTGGCCTACCCAGCATTCATCACTGAGTTTCCCCATCATTGCTGCAAGGCAGATCCCTTAAACTAGCATGGTCACCATTGGGCTGCACCAACACCCACCAGAAATAAAGGCTCAATTCCGTGAAAAATCTCAGAAGATAAATATTATATTGCGCAATTTTCAAAAATAGTATCGTTGATTTTTCTTTTTATTATTTTACGTTGGTGCCATAAGTACAGAATAAATATTTTTTGGATGAGCTTGTTAAGCAATTTCCACTTGGTTGCTTTCATAAACATTTACTGATTAGAAGATACCATTCAGGGCTCCATGTATAAGTATCTATGGAGAAACGTGTGGATATATAATGGTCTCCTTTCCAAACTAGGAGCTGAAGTCTTTGGGGACGGGAATCAAACCTTAATTCCAGTTTGCATTCCTGTGTCCAACTCAATGCTTGAAACTTAGTGGTCTGTTAGGAAACGTTTGTTAAATAATTGAATAAATGAAAAAATTCACAGTTATTTCTGTGTTCTTAGAACTGACATTGTGTGACGGGTATTCGGGAAATGAGTTATTTGTGATCTCGGGGACCCGTGTGCATATCCGCAAGCCCCAGTCTGGCCGTCTGAGGGCTGTGAGGTTAAGGCGGGTGCCGTGTGCAATGCCAGGCACCACTTCGATACTGGGCATTGCCACAACTCAGAGGTAATCATTTTCACCTCGAGAGGCTGGCCACCTCTTCTTCAAGCCACCATATGTCTTCTGAATGAAGTGAGAACCACCCGTTTTCACCTAGAAAATAGCAACAACAAAATCCTTTGAGGTATCAGATGGAGAAACTGGGTAAGGTCTTAGAGCCAGAGAGAGCATTGCTGCTGAATATCATTTAAGAATTATAAAATGCATATTGTGCAGAAGTAGAGTGCTCTAGAGGGAAGGTTGCTTTTTGTTTTTTGTTTTTTCCCACTGAATTAAAGCTGTTAGGGCTTTATTTTCTGCCTTGTTTTTGTGACAGCTTTGGCATTATGTAGTTCACCAGAGAGATGAGTAGGGAATGACTGATCATTTTGGATATTAAAAATTGCTAACCTTTTCTTTGTGCTCACCAGAGACTTCTCACTCCAGACTTTGACAAAACAAAACTGCAAGTGTAATTTCCATTTGCATATTTTATTCTTTCCGAAGCTGCAAGCCAGACCCTGGGACACAGGGGTTCTCTTTGCAGGCAGGGCGAGTGCCTGATGGAGTAATGTCCCTTGCGAACATGTGGACGCAGAAAAGTTGGCATAAATAAATGAAGTTTACATTATTACTATTTCCAAGAAAGTGTGAGGAGCCCACAGAGGATTTTTTTTTCCTCATTGTGATAGTACTCTTTCCACTTCATGCATTTCAGGAATTTATTAGATTCCTTTTTAAAGTAAAGTAGTGATTGGGAACGTGTTCAATATTAGCAACTGTGACCAACTTTCTTGTTTGCTTATACTGGTGTGAGAATTACTGAGATGTCGAAGACTTCTTTTTCCAAATTTGGATATTCACTTGGGAAATAAATATGCTCCATAAGAGAAATCTTGAAAGTTCTCAATAGTAATTGGCTTTAAAAATCAGTTGAGTGTTCTCACTATGTTTTTTTGGTCAGAAATAATTTTGGTGCGCCTGGGTGGCTCAGTCAGTTAAGCATCCGACTTCAGCTCAGGTCATGAACTTACGGTTTGTGAGTTCGAGCCTCATGTCGACCTCTGTGCTGACATTGCAGAGCCTGCTTGGGAGTCTCTCTCTCCCTCTCTCTCACTGCCCCCATTCCCGGTGCTCGTTTGCTCTCCCTCTCTCTCAAAATACATAAA